AAAGGAAATTTGGAAACAATATTTTTCATAATAGTAAATGATGGATGACCTAGTTTAGAGTGCCACTCGAACGAAGTGGTCTTGAGACTAGAAAATGCAAGCAATGGTGGAGAGGAAACTGAAGGGGATGTAATCGGCCACTCATATACGCCATCCTTAGTTTCACTCATCAAAAGAATTGTCCACGTGTTTAGATCCTTCACCTGAAAAGTAGAGGGTGAGAATTCAATAGAAACATGGTTATGAGTGCAAAATTGATAAATCGAAATTAAGTTCTTTTTAATGGAAGGGACACAAAGGAAATTTTGTAAAGTAAAGGTGCGAGAGGAAGTAGGTATGGTGGTAGAACCGGTATGGGTTATGTGTAGGGCCGATCTATTGCCAATCATGATATCATCATATCCTTGGTACGAGCTATGAAGAGAGAGATTGCTCAAGTTAGACGTAACATGGTTAGATGCTCCACTATCCAGTAGCCAAGTAGGTGTAGTGTTATTACCCAAAATAGCATGATTGGCTTGTGGTTGCCAGGGTGTGGAGGGGCGATATCCCTGAGAGCCTTGAGGATGAGATGTTGGTGATTATTGATTAGTGACAAGCCGAAACATCGAGCATCGTTTGGCAGTGAGTCCTTGAGTGCCGCATGCTTGACAATGACCCAAATAAGGTTTGGGTTAGCGTTGATCATGAGGAGAAAGTATAGTGGTCGGGCCTGGTTATTGTGGATTGGTGGCTGGTGGATGCCAATTTGGACAATTCCGGAAGGCCGTGGGATTTGTCGTGGCTAGTAGTGATAAGGAAGGTGATTTAGCGGTCTGAAGAGATGCTTCTTTGTTAAGAAGTTTTTCATGAAGTTCAGCAAAAGAAATTGACGTGTCACGGACATTAATGGCATTAATGACAGATTTATACTCATCACTTAGTTCTTCTAGAACCTTATCAATAAGATCCTCATCATCAATTGGCTTCCCTAGAAGAGCAAGTTCATCGACACGAGTCTTTATCGCCTGTATGTATTCACTAATTGATTTTGAGCGCTTGTTACACCGCTTTAATTGTTCCTTCAATTGTTTAATATGACCATGATATGGTTTGACGTAGGTATTAGCTAAGGTTTGCCATGCATCAAAGGATGTGGTGCTGAGGGCAATAAGTAGTTGCAGTGAAACGGAGATGGCACCAAGGAGAGCGCTAAAAAGGAGACGATCCTGATTCTTCCAGGTTGTGTACGCCAGATTTGGAGATGTAACACCATTGACAGTGACGGTGGGTGGTGGTGGAGTTTGAGTGCCATCAATAAAGTGATGAAGATCATAATCTTCAAGAAGAGATTGATTTTGAAGGCTCCATGTGAGATAATTGGTGGATGACAATTTGGTGATATTGGAGAGATTTATGGTAAGGAGAGAATGTTGAGGATCTTGAGAATTTTGGATAGTAATAGGATCGTTGGTGGAAGAGGAAGTCATATCGAAAGCCATTGAAGGGACTGATGGCTAGTTTTAGATGTGAAAAAAAGAAGAGGAAAATATGCACAGGAAGATTAGGCTCTTGATACCATGTTTGAATAGAGAGAAGAATATTGAGAAACAATGGCTTGACATTTTCATTGATTAAGAGTGAATATATATACACAAGATTGGATGCACATAAATAGGAAACTAGCCTAGAGTTGGGGGATTACAACTAATTACAAGGCACAAAAATAGGAAACTAGCATAGAGTTAGGGGATTACAACTAATTACAAGGATATTATAATTAATTACAATAATTTTAAATATAAAGAAAATCTGTTATAATTAATTCTCTAATAGATTCTTTGGGTGAAAAAGTATTAATGACATCAATTCAAAATTTGAAATATCGATACTTATGCTATGATGTTCAATATATTTGGTTAAAATATCAATACATATGACTTGAGGTTTCGATAATTTAGTTTGATTTTTTTTTTGAAATTTAGTTCGAAACTAAATATCGACACTTTTTAAGGAGCGACGTATCGATACAATTTTCAAAAATTATAAATAGTTTCCTAAGTCTCGATACTTATGGTATCAGTATCGATACAAATTTAAAAAACAAATAAAAAATAAGGCTTAGCCTTTTAGTTAACATCACACCAAATTTTTAATATGTTTTAATAATATAAAAAATTACATCCTTATAACTTAATCAATTACAATAAAAACAAGGCTCAACCTACTACATTATCATCTTAACCGAACTATAAATATGTTTTAATAATATAAACGGTTAAAACCTTATAACTTAACTGATTCACAATACAACAAGGTGAAATCTATTATGTTACCATTACAACTGGATTTTTAATAGGTTTTAATAATATAAATGGTTACAACCTTATAACTTAATTGGTTTACAAAACAACAAGGCGTAACCTATTAAATCACAACCAAATTTTTAATAGCTTTTAATAATATAAACGATTACAATCTTATAACTTAACTGATTAAAAATAAAAATAAGGTGCAACCTATTATGTTACCATCGCAACCAATTATTAATAAGTTTTAGTAATATAAACGGTTAAAGCCTTATAACTTAACCAGTTCACAAAACAACAAGGCGAAACCTATTATGTTACCATCACAACCAGATTTTTAATAGGTTTTAATAATTTAAATAGTTAAAGCCTTGTAACTTAATTGGTTGACAAAACAACAAGGCGCAACATATTACCTTATAATCACAATCGAATTTTTAATAAGTTCTAATAATATAAACAGTTACAGCCTTATAACTTAACTAGTTAAAATAAAAACAAGGTGCAACCTATTAATTTCCATTGCAACAAGATTAGTAATAGGTTTTAATAATACAAACGGTTAAAGCCTTATAACTTAACCAGTTCACAAAACAAAATGGTGACACCTATTACATTATCATCACAATCGGATATTTAATAGATTTTAATAATATAAACGGTTAAAGCCTTATAACTTAACCAGTTCACAAAACAATAAGGAGCAACCTATTACGTTACGATCGCTACTGAGCTTTTAATAGACTTTAATAATATAAATTGTTAAAGTCTTATAAATTAATCGGTTCACAAAACAACAAGTCTTATATAAGTATCGATACTTACCGATCATATAAGTTTATTGATTGCGTCATTTTGAGAAGATTTAAAATAGTTGCAACCTGATACATTACATGTAAATCAACATTTCCAGTCGTGCCCAACCATTTTTGTTAAGGTTCTTTTCAAATTTTAGGTCGTGCCATACTCCGTTGTTTTTTAGCTTGATATTACTCCGTTTTTCCTTAGACATCCCCGTTTTAATAAATTTGTATTTATGAAAAATTTTCCTCTTTTTTTTAGCACATTTTCTGTCGCTTGACTAATATTTTTGTTTATTTTTTTATAATTGGATTTGACATCACTACGACTGATCAAGATGGTGCTTATTTGTTATCATATTGATATTTCTTACTTTGGATCTCGCATTTTTGTAATTTTTTTTAATAGTCTTTTAGTTGCTCGATCTTTTTTTGTGGTTCACTTACTGATGCGATCAATCCCATGTGTACATATATTTTGTTTGAGGTTTTTTTTGTTATTGGATTTTTAAACTTTTATATTTAATGGTCATAGTAGTTGCTAATTTCTTGTGTTAATGATTATAGAAAATTTTTCTCATTATGTGTTTAGTTTATGATTATGGTTATAAATATTCATCGTAATTCTTGATATTTTCTCTTTTACATAAAATTAGAGACTTTTTATAAAAAATGATCATCAATAGTTTAATATTAAAAAAATAATGATGTAATATGATATAATGATAATTTTAATCCCTAAAACTTATACATTATATCAATTTGATCCTAATTTAAAATAATTCATTAAATTAAACCCTTCATGTTTAAAAATTGTATCAATTTAGTTTTGTTCTTCTCCTAAATTTCTTGTTCTTATCCTAGAAATATCATATTACTTTTCCTTTTCTTTTCTGGTATAATAACAATTTAATAGTAAGTTTTTGTTTATGATAGAATGCAATAGCCAACTATTATGTTGATCTAATGAACTTGTTTGGTATAAAAATATTATAAAAATTTTAAATAGGTGAAATTTTTAACTATGAATGGTTAACTTTTTATTTGATTATTTCAAATTAAAATCAAATTAATAGAATAAATAAGTGTTATGGAAAAAAATATTATATCAGATCACATTAGATCTTTATTTTAATTCTAAGGACAAAGTGACCTATTTTTAATAATTTTTTAACTGAGTGATTAAATTATAACATATACAGAAAAGTGACCAATTCATAACCCAACTAATAATTAAGTGACATGGGATGTATTTTCCCATTATTGTTAAAATTAGGGTAAATTATCACACAAGTCACTTTTGTTTTGCTTTTATCTTATTTTGATAATCAAATTCGTAAAAGTTATATTTAGATAACTTATTTTATCGATTATTAAAATTTGGCGATCGAGTTTTTAACTCTCGCTACATTGAACGCTCTATTGAATTCTGTGATAGTTACAAATAATAATTTTAAATTTAATTCTTGAATTTTAAAATTTCATTTTTTCATCTTTATTCTCGTTCGATGTCTCTGACACTTTTATGATGACGGTGACATATATTTACATACTTAAATTTTAGTAAAGAGTAGATCAGTTTGAAGTGATATATATTTACACCTTTTATGTTGGTTCGGGACTCCACCCTCCTTTCATTGTCCCTCCTCTTGCTGCAGACATTGGTCTGTGATTTAGTTTGTTTGTCTAGGGGGTTTGTTCGGCCGTTAATTTTTATAAATTAAAATATTTTTTATAAATTCGTTGAATTAGAAAAATAGATATAAATAGATTAAATATTAATTTCTACTTTCATATTATAGATATTAAATTTATATATATAAATTACTCGATGGGACTTTAAAATTTAAGGAATTTTCTATTATCTTTATTTAAGTTTGGGGCAAATTATGCATCCGTGCAGCTAAAGCTAACTCAAAGTTAAAATATGCTAATTAATAAACTCATAAAATTTTCTTAAACTTTCAAAAGCTGCAATTTATTGAGGAAAGAAATAGCAATCCAATCCAATTCAACCGAGACCATCGGGCATGATTGATCTCAGCCGCGGATCCATACCACATCTCTGGCTCCACCTCTGCAACTCCGAAATTCGATCCCACCACTTCCCATATTAAAGCCCTCGAATCATCTCCGGCGGAACAAAGCTGTTTTCCGACGAACGGCGACCACGAAATGGCGTTCACACCCCCTTCATGCCTACATAACTCCATCAACGGCGTTGTTGGAAACCGGATGTCTACTATCACAATTTTACTGCTATCCATACCTACTGTTGCCATGAACCTAGGGTCTGCCTTGTTCCACTCCAGCCTCATCAACGGAGTCTCGGGGACCGGATTTTCGTAAATTATCGTCGATCGTTCCTTGTCTCGCAAGTCGAACACTCTCACGGAGCCGTCTCCGGACACCGAAGCGAACACATTGACTCCGCCCCACGAGATGTCGAACACTTCCTTGTCGTGTGCAACTAATTGACTGTTCACGGCTTCCCTCTCAATGTCCCATATGGTACAAGTAGTGTCGACACTCGAACTGGCCACGTGACGAGTATCGAAATCGGCCCAGTCGAAGGAAGTTATGGCGGAATTGAACTCGTTACTCCTGTTGCCGTTAAACAAGGTCTTAAGCTCGATGTGGTCGTCGTGGATTTCCCAAAGACGAAGGTAGTCACCGGAGGTGGCGATCAAGTCGGGGTTCGAGGTGTCCTCGGAAGGGAAGAACATTAGGTTGGTGGGAGCATAAGGGTGGTCGAAAACTAAGCGGCTGTCGGTGGTGAAATCGGAAGTGTGGAGGTTGAAGTGAACGAGTTCGACCTTGTTGCTGTAGTCTTCGAGGAAACTCCCAATGGCGAGGCGTGATCTTTTGTCACTGCGGACGGACCATGCCACGGAGTAAATTGGCCAGTGGCCTATGTATGTGTAGACGCCTGGTTTTCTCTCCGAGGGGCATTGCATGGCTTAGTTACTGAATAATAAAACAAGGAGCCGGAAACGTGGTTTTAATAGTTTGAAGCAGCAGCTGCCATTGCAAATGAAAGAAAGGAAGGTAAAGCTAATGGTCAATCTTGCACGTTGGAGATTGGTTTGTTTATCGCACTTTCACGTGTTTTTTTGTCTTGCATCCGCCATTCCATCATTCGCCTGCACTAGGTAGGTACATCACTTTAATTATTAAGTGAGGCTTAGGGTTAATTAATTTCTCTCTTCTACACTCTTCCACGTGTCTTCTATTTTTGGACATCTTATGAATTATAATTCCGCCCTGCATGGTTGCTCAGTTTATTTACCATAGCATTTCAATATCATGATTTTACGTACTGATCAGAAATACTCCCATTTTGGATTTGATAGTTATCAAAAGTAAGAAAACGGTTATCAAATAATCGATTTAAAATTTGTAATAGTCATTTTTTAAAATTAAATCGAGAAGTAATTTAGTAAAGTAAATTTTAAAAGTAACAAATATTTTTGAGTCAAAATTTTAATTATTAAATGTCCATTTAAAATTCAAGGTTAATTTTAAGGACCTGTGGTATCTTAATTTTGTCCGGGTATTTCAAATTGAATTGAAGACCGTCAAGGACCAAGTTGGAATTTTATGAGTTGATGGCATAGCTTGGGGATGTTATATTAACAAGGCTTCAAGAAATTTCAATCGTGGAAAATGGGTTCCAAGCATATACTTATTTGGGTTTGATATCATGATCGTTTATTATGAAGTTTTTAAACTTCTTTATTAGCACTAATTATCCAAATAGAATTCAAGCCTAAATTTGAAAGTTCATTTGCAAGTTATAAAACCCATACCAAGTTTAATACGGTTTAAACCCAAATAGATTCACATTTGGCCAAATTGGCCCATTAGGGCAACTGGCTAAATAATTTAGCCCAGTAGGACACCCAAACATTTAAGATCTACGACAAATTGAACAGTGTCCATAGAACTTGTCACGCCAGCGTGACGAGTTCCATGAGATATTTTTTTAATGAACCCTATCAAGTGGGCCCCACACCCGAATTTAAAAAAAATATTGAGTCCCTATTAAAATTATTTTTTTATTTTGTAATATTTTAAAAGAAAATTAAAAAATAATATTTTATTCCCAAGGAACTCGTCACGCCGAAGTGACAAGTTCCAACAAGTATAATTTTCAAATTTTTGACTGTTGGATTGACCGTTGTTAAATGTTCAAATTTTTGTTAAAATTTTCAATAGAACTCGTCAGACCAGCGTGACGAGTTCTAACGAGAAAAAATATGTCTTCCCTTTAAGTTGTGCACATCATCTTCAATCTCTTACTTTAAACACTACTTTCATTCTCAATCTCCTACACCAAAAAAAAAAACTCATTTAATCTAACTAAAAACATTTCAAGCAATGAGCAACAAATTCTTCACAGTTGTCCATTATAATGGCGAAATTCTACAAACTGATGTTGGTGTTGTGTTTAAGTCAGACATGCCGATCAATATGATATTCCCTGTAGATGCATCACATCACCAAATGAAGTAAAATATTAAGAGAAAAGTTGGAGCTTCTGTTTCATGTTTAAGTTATCGGCACCTGTTCTCCTCAAATTTCAGCTTGATGATGACGACGATGTTGTTGTTATGGTTGGACTTCATCAATCATCACTTAATAATATGGTGGAGATGTACATCGAAACGAATAATGCAACTAATATTCCGATGTCATCAGTACCAGCTCAAAGAACAGAAGAAGCATGACTCTCTCAACCACATAAAAGTTATGGTGATGAGAACCTTGTTGGATGGTTCGGTGAAAGCCTTGCTGAATTTAGCGAGGATGATGAATACATTGTTCCGTTGGTAGACGATGACGACACAACATTAGTTGATGTGTCCGATATTGTTGAGGTTGCTTCAGAGGGACAAGTTTTGGATGTTGAGGTGGATATATGAGAGGCAGCTGTTTCACGATGTAAAGGATTACATAATGCTCCAAATGTTTGGGCAAGGACATAAATCGAACCTGAATTCAATCATCAGAATTTGCCTCGGTATCATCATGCAGTTGCAATGTATGACATTAATTACGATGCTATGCAGAATCTTGAAATATTTGATATGCCATAGTTATGTGCTGCCCACTGGGTTATTCAAATGAGCAGTCATTGAGTTGACTATTGGGTCTTACTTTGAAACAAAAGAAGAGGCACAACTAGCAATCAAGGAGTATTGTATCAAAGCTCATCGTCAATTCTATGTCGAGAAGTCGAATAAAAAAACTTATTTCGTAAGGTGTATACACCATGATGTTGGCTGTAAATGGAGGATACGAGTATCATACCTACAACGAAAGATGTTGTGGGAAGTCACAAGGTTCAATACAGAGCACGCATGTACAATGACCTCCTTGACACAAGACCACAAACATTTAGATTCGGATGTCATATGCTCTTATGTGAAGCCGTTGGTGAAAAAAAATCCAAGAGTGCCCGTTTCTGTGCTAGTTTCATCCATTCGGAATACATTTGGTTATATTCTAACTTATTACAAGGCATGAATGGCTAAATGGAAAGCAATGAACTTGTTGTTTGATGGTTGGGATCAATCATATAATGAGCTACCACGTCTGCTACAAGCAATAGAATTTTTTATCCCTGGAACCATTGTTAGATACTATACTCATCCTGCAGTCACGCTTGAGGGAGACGTTATCCCCAGGAAGAGAATTTTTGGTGGCTTGTTCTGGGCGTTTAATCCAGCTATCGAAGGGTTTAGATTTTGCAAACAAATGATTCAAGTCGATGACATTTTTCAATATGGGCTCTACAAACACGTCTTGATGATAGCCGTTGCACAAGATGGAGACAAAAATATTTTCCCCATTCTTTCGCCATTGTTAAAAATGAATCGGAGGAAGCTTGAAATTTCGTTCTCTCCAACATATATTCCCATGTTGTCAACTAAGAAAGGGTTTGCATGATCTCAGATCGGTCGCCTGGGTTGTTAAGCACAATTGGTAGACCAGAAAATAGATGGACGCCACCTCTCACATATCCTACATATTGTATACGTCATATCGCGCCGAATGCAATGACAATACCAAAGCAGAAAAAGATCAAAAAGGAGATTATCAACATGGGTAAGTACCATACATTTTCATTAATTATTTATGCTTCATTAATGCTTTTTAAGTAATATTTAAGTTATTGTTTTTTAGGGTATGCTTTACTCCAACCAAACTTTCGTGCACGACTTGAAAATTTGAGAAGATACAAACATGATGTGTATGAGTTCGCAGCTGAAATACCAAGGGAGAGATGGTCACAAGCATAAGATATTGAGGGTCGACGTTACGGCCATATGACTACCAACCTTGTTGAATGTATCACCTCAGTGCTGAAAGGGACTCAACATCTCCAGATAGCAAGTATTGTTAGGGAGACTTACTTTAGGTTGGATATAGTATGGGAAGACAAAAGTGCACAAATTGATGCCATGATTAGCGATGGGAGAAATTGAACTCCAGATTTAGAGAAGGCAATGCAAAAAAATCAAACACATGCGACATCAATGTTTGTCCACAATTTTTTCAGGCATGATTCTGATTTTGTTGTCCAAGCTCTAGTTTGACCACATAAGGGAGATAATTCTACAACATATACTGGTAATCTAAATAGAAGATGGTGTGATTGTGGTCAATTTCAAGCTTTTAGGTTCCCATGCGCTCACGTTGTTGCTACATGTATGCACATCAATGTTGACCCATACTTATATGCTGATGACTGTTATAGCCTGTACACTATGTGCAACATTTACAGTTGTGACTTCAAGTACCTCCCAAATGAAGCATACTGCCTACATGCACAATTTTTGAGAAATTGTTGTCAAATCCTCGATTGCATAGGAAGTTACGGGGTCGACCTGAATCTAACAGAATTCATACCATGGATGATCCTCAAAGAGAGCTAGGTCAACTAAAACTATAGAGGTGAAGGTCATAACATAAAAACATTGTCCACATCTTCCAAAATATCGTGTTGGACGCTAAAATAAGCGTTACAAAATGTTAACTATATTTTGATATAATAATTAAGGCATAATGCTTTTGGACTTGAATTGAATTTGTTCAAGAGTTTTCAAAGTTTTGAAAAATAATTCAAAGTTCATTTTACTTGGAATTGAGCACAGAATACGTTTTTGCACACGTAGTATCAGTACTGTTCATGTAGTATCGATACTACTTTGGTATCGGTACCCCTTTTGGACCGATACGAAAGTATCGATACTACCAGCATTTCTCAAATTCCAAATTAAAATATTATTTTTTTAATTTTTCTTTTAAAAAATTACAAAATAAAAAAAATTATAATTTTTTTAATCCGTGTGTAGGGCCCACTTGTTAGGGCCCATTAAAAAATATATCACATGGAATTCGTCATGCTGGCGTGACGAGTTCTATGGGCACTGTTCAATTTGCCGTAGATCCCAAATTAAATGTTTGGGTGCCCTAATGGGCTAAATTATTTAGCCGGTTGCCCTAATGGGCCAATTTGACCTTCACATTTACCCTTTACCCAAATCTAGGGTTGTTTAAAAATCCAAAGCCCAGTAACCCATTATCATGTAACCCAACACAACATCCTGGTTTACAACAACTCATTTACCTTAAGTCAAACCAAGCTCAAAATGCTAGGGTTCGAGAGACCCTAGCTAAAACAGATGAAGCTTCTGCCGCCTTCACTATCCACGTCACTAGGCAGTGGTTCAAGCTAAACTAACAAAACTCAGAAGAATCGAGAGAAATCCGAAGCTTCAGCTGTGCCTTGCTATGTCCCCTCTCCAGCTGTCCCGATGGTCTTGTGGAGAGCGACGCTGTTTGTGAAGTGGGGAGGTTTGAAAGTGTGTGATAGTTTTATTTTTTTAGAGTTTAGTTTAAAGTGAAGTAGCAAAAAGGTTTAGCCTTTTAGAATTTGTTTCACTTGTGAAAAACGGTGAATCTCATTCAAAGCCATCCATATTTAAGCTCATTTTTACATCTTGGTCACTGGTTCAAGGTCATTTTGGTTTCATTTCGAATATATGTCTTAATGAGTAATTTCCGTTTTTTTTTTTCTTTGAATTACTAGTTAAAAATGATCAAATAATCTTTTAGTCCTCCTAGGTTTAGCCTATTTCTGCATTTTGGTCACTAATCCTCGTTTTTGATCTATTTCAATTTGAGTGCTTTGTTTTTATTTATTTCAATTTGGTCACTTCTCTGGATATTTAGATTTTATTTAGATTTGATCCTCAATTTGTTGTTTTACTTACATTTTAGCCCCTAAATTAATTGTGTTATTAATTAACCCTATACTAATTAGTTGATTAAATTTATACTTTGTATTTATTAATCAAAGTTATATTGTTAATTTTAGTGCATTTAGATTTTTATGCATGCTTGTTAATTTATTTTATAATATTTTGATATTTTTAATTTATTTTCCTTAAATTTAAAAATTATTAGCTTTTAGGTTTAATCTTTTAGTTTAGATTCTTTTAGTTTAGTCCATAATTAGGAATTAGATTTTAGATTTACACCATTTTAGATCTAATTTCACCTTAGTCCTTTCACCTTAGTCCTTTAATTTAGGGAATAATTCAATTTTGGCTTTCGCATTTAAATGCTTGATTGTTCAAATCGATTATCAATTCAATAATTGGTTAAAATTAATTAAGTTAATAATTAGAGCATTAAGTTTAAATTCTTCACAATTTAGTCCTTTAGCTTTTAATTAGATATTATTTTACATAATTAATTAGGGTTAACAATTAGAACCTTAACTTTAGATTCTTCACAATTTAGTCCTTTATCTTTTAATTATATATTCATTTGACATAATTAATTAGGTTAATAATTACTGCTTCATTTTAGATTTAATTTCACCTTAGTCCTTTAATTTAGGGAATACTTTAATTTGGGCTTTGGATTAAGATATCCAATTGTTCAAATCGGTTATTCGACTCAATAATTGGTTAAAATAAATTAGGATTAATATTAGAACCTCATTTTTAGGTTTACCCTTTATGTTCTTTAAATTTCATAATCGACACTTTAAGTTAGGATTGCCTTAATTAACCCACCTAGAATAACTAGGTTTTAAAACAATTGTAAGCTTGCATTTTATTTTAAATTAATAAGGCAATATTCATTTATCAAGGAATTAATAGTTTATCCTTCGTGTTATGCTCAGGGTGTAACCCCCTAGACCCAACTATGCGTTACAACTAGATCTTGCAGATTACAATAAAAATTTCCAAAACATATTCCAAACAGTCTTATATAATTTAAATCCACATTATAAATAACATCTTTAAAAATAAGTTATTAACGATAAAAATCCAACGAGTAAATATTAAACCGCAAGTGACTATGTAAAATAAAATACGTCATAATCCATATTGCAGTAAATTAACATCAGTAATAAAAGTAGTAATCATCATAAAATAAGTATTTCAAAATAAAGGCGCATACCACCATAAATGAGAGCAGTTAGTAGATAAAAACATTACAACAAAAAGTTCTATATGAATGTGTCGATCCTCCAAGTCCCAGTATATGTGTCTATCCAAAAGTATCTAAAATGGGGGAAAGGTTTGAAAAGGTGAGCTAGGGAGCTCAGTGTGTTCCAATGATGCAAGTAAAACGTAATGGGTAAAATAATAAAGAAAAAATTAAGTAAAGTATTGTAAAAGTCATAGTGAAGTTTAAATTCTAACAATCATAATTACCCTCATCCCGTACACCAAAACTAAAGCTTGAGTCAAAGATGACTTCAATTTTTCATAACTCTCATGTGTGCATCACCCCAGTCAAACGAAAAATTCTTCCTCAACAGTTTTGTCAAAGGGGCGACAATGATCGAGAAGCCCTCAACAAAACATCGATAATACCCGGCTAAGCCCAAGAAACTATGATCTCGGAGACATTCTTAAGTCGCTTCCAACTCACAATGGCCTCAATATTACTTGGATCGACCTGAATACCTCTTGTAGAAATAATATGCCCAAGAAACGAAACCTCCCGAAGTCAGAATTCATACTTGCTTAGCTTGGCATACAGACGATGCTTTCTTAGAACAATCCTCAAATGCTCATCATGCTCTACCTCAGTCTGGGAATAGACCATAATATCATCAATGAAAACCATTACAAATTGATCTAAATAGAGTCTGAACACACGGTTCATCAGATCCTTAAAAGATGAGGGAGCATTTTTCAGACCAAAAGGCATCACAAGAAACTCATAATGCCCATACCTAGTTTGAATAACAGTTTTCGCAACATCTGACCCCTTTACCTTCAATGATTACACCCCAAACAAAGATCAATCTTCAAAAATACAGTAGCTCCCCGTAACTGATCGAATAATACATCAATCTATGGAGTGGGTTTAGGGTTTTCTTAACTATCAACTTGTTCAACTTTCGGTAGTCAATACATAGTCTAAGCGATCCATCATTCTTTTTCACGAACATGACCGGAGCTCCCCAAGGTGAGATTTGCCTGATGAAACCTTGATCAAGTAATTCCTGCAACTGGACCTTAACTCCTTAAGTTTCTTTAGGGCCATATAGTATAGTGCCATAGAAATAAGTGCAAAACAGGATAAGTTTCAATCTCGAAATCTACCTCTCTATCTGGAGGTAACCTTGGCAACTCCTTAGGAAAGATATCGAGAAACTCGCTAATTGTGTGAGCCTTTTTACTCTTGGACAACGTGCCTTAGTGTTCAAGATACATACAACAAAAGTCTCATATCTCTTCCAAATCATCCGATCGATAACCAAAGCGAATACTATATTAAAAAGATAACCTTAATGCTACCCAACTAGCACAACAGTCTGACCATCAGAAGTCTTTAGAGTAGCTCCCTTGTACTCGCAATCCAGATTGACTCAGAGTTCATTAAACAAATCCATCCCTAGAATCATATCAAACTCCTCTAAAGTAAGCTCCATAAGGTGGGGGAAAATTTCACCTTAACCTCCAGAGGATAACGCCTGAATACCTTACTCACAACCACTGACTGTCCTATAGAGTCATAATAGAATTGAACTCTCAGTGTTCTCAATTATAATATGAAGGTCTCGAGATACAAAAATTGAAACATAGGAGAGGTGAAGACATTGTCTAGTAATGCAAAGTATGAAACATAATAAATAGTAAATGTACCTACAATAACCTCTGGCTTGTCTCTATCATCACGACGTCTGTGATATACACCAGAAGTGGTTGTCTGTCCTCTAATACTATTGGCCTTTTACCTACTGTCTTTCTTTGGGTATGACCTCTAGATAGGGTCTGAACTAAAGCATGTGAACGTGCATGAGTCTGGGTAGTTGTATGCTCTGTCGAAACTAGTTGTTGATAGTCCCTCTAAAAATGACCACTAGATCAACAATGATAGGAAGAACATGTCTTCTTAAAACACTCTCCTCCGTGTCGATTTCCATAAAAGTCACGAACAGGCACCTGAGACAAACTCGATAAACCACCTCGACTAACAGTTGGGGGTGGAGGTGCTATAGGCCTGGAACTGGTATTACTCCTCTGGAGGGTTGAAGTATGATTCCTCTTCTCAGGACGTGTCAATGACTCAGTCGGGCCAGAATATCTCATAGGCCGCTCTCGATCTACTCGATCTCTAACCGGAGACAAGGCCTCCACATTCTCAGCATCCTTCGTTCTACCCACCAAAACATCAAAAATCTTATCTTGATAGGTCACAACCTGCCTACGTAACTCATATTTTAGTCATAAAGCAACCTTGCGACATCTATCCCTCTTAGTGAGAACCAAACTAGCACCACACTTCAACAACTTAAAAAATTTCATCTCATGCCTGAAAACTGACATATCTCCCTACACCAAGTCCTAAAACTAATGTCTCATCTCAGCCAAATAACGTTGTCCAAGAAAACACTTCCTGAAGTACTCATTGAAGAAATCCCAATTCAGATGATCAACGTGGACAATTCTCACTACTGACTCCCACCAGGTGTGGGCATTCCCGTCTAGCATCAAAATAACTCGTAGATACCTTCTCGATGGATTCAAACCCAGTTGATTATTACATCTCTCTGTATCACAGAGCAAGTCTTCAGCTTCAGTAGGAGCTCCACCCGTCGGACCTATAAAAGTTCTGGCCCCATTAACGATCAAGGTCTCTATAATCGAGACTTCAAGTGCAGTACTATCAACTCTAATAGAACCCTGAATCAGCTATAGAAACTGTCTACCATCTCATCTAACACCACACTCATAGGCTCAACACTAGCGACTAGGGCTCCCCTGACTGGTGTTGTCATATCTATACCAGATACAAGCGACAAATCAACAATCGACTTATCAATCACGTCAGTGATCCTAGCAGCTTGACCTCGCTCGTGGCTAGGATGACGACCTCATCTAGGACTCATAGAGAAGGATCTCAGGGCTCACTACACAAGAGTTAAACTTAGGGTCAAATTTAGCACTTGGAGTACCGAACAAAGTTAAACTTTAAAAAACGGGTGTCATTGCCTTACAGGAAGTTGTAAAACGTTTTCAAAATAGTTTTATTTATTTATTTACGACCCATTCACAGTCTGGGGTTTAAAAAACAAAAGCTCGGATACCAACTAAATGTAACCCCCTAGACCTAGCCTATGCGTCACAACTAGATTTAGCGGATTATAATAAAAATTTCCAAAACATATTCTAAACATTATTCAATAATTTAAATCCATATTATGAATAACATATTTAAAAAAACATAGTTAATAACGAAAAAAATCCAACGAGTAAATATTAAACCGTAATGTAATGTATAAAACAAAATACATCATAATCCATATCGCAATAAATTTAACATCAGTAACAAAAACAATAATCACCATAAAAAATATTTCAAAATAAAGGCACGTTTCACCATATATGAGAGCAGTTCGGAAGATAAAAACATTAACAAAATATTTTGTACGAATGTATCAGTTCTCCAAGTGTTAGGTCTGGGGTGTCTATCCAAAAGTATCTGAAAAAGGGAAAAGTTTGAAAAAAGTGAGACAGGGAGCTCAGTTGTTCCAATGTGCAAGTAAAACAATGGGTAAATAATAAAGAAATAATTCAGTAAAGTATCATAACAGTCATAGTGAAGTTAAATTTTAACACTCATAATTACCCTCCCAAAATATTTTGTACGAATGTATCAGTTCTCCAAGTGTTAGGTCTGGGGTGTCTATCCAAAAGTATCTGAAAAAGGGAAAAGTTTGAAAAAAGTGAGACAGGGAGCATCTTGGGTAAAATAATATTTTGTACAAATGTGCAAGTAAAATGCAATGGGTAAAATAA